TTTGCAATATACCCCTATCGGGTACCGTCCAACTTTGCAAAATGTCCCCATACTTGTCAATTTTTCCAAGGCCTGATTTCAGAAGGCCAATGCCCAAATTGCAAGGTCCAAATTGGAAATTTGCACGTTGGCTTGACAGGGGCATAACCCAAAGAAAATTCGGTCTAAAAGGGCATTCCGCTCTACCCACATCTTTCAGGGGCATTTTGGCATATATCTCAACTTATGGGGGTATTTTGCAAATTGCAGTTCATGTATCGGGCCCAGAACCGTCCAAATGCATGAAAGTGTTGTGTAGTGGAGCCTGGCCCATGGTATGAATCCATGTAGATGGACAGAATGTTGGTTAAGTGCAATGTACTCTTCTTGCAGGAGGTTTTCCTCACAAGCACAGTCAGCTTTGGGGTGCTTCGCATGCTGGGGTCCCTCGCTGTCCCCATTGTGCAGTTTTCATGATGATAACAAATAACAAATTAATATTAATGATTGATCTGCCTTTTTTTTTAATAATTCGTGTCACAATCAAGCTGTGGATTAAAAATAAAAATAAAAATAAAAATCAAGCTGTGGATCTTTGATGGGGAAAAAGCACAGGCAAGTACTTGGTCTGCCGACATGCCAGAGGTTGCCTGATATGACTGATGTTCCTTGGCAGCAGGTGCATCCTGCTTGCGAAGGTCTATTAATGGATAATAATCGTGGGTTGTGACTCCATTACAGAACACTCCACATGCATCGGGACGCTTTCTGGACCAGGTGCGTGCTAGAGGTTGGCGGACATGACCGATTTTCCTTGGCAGCTGGTGCATGTGGTGGCTCCACTACACAACACTCTGCATGCATCGGGACGCTTTCTGGACCAGGTGCATCCTGTCGTCTGTGGTGGCTCCATTACACAAGACTTGCGTCCTGCTTGTGAAGGTGCAGTGGACGGTCCTTTGTGGTCGCTCCCCATTATACAACACTGCATGCACTGGGACGCTTTCTGGGCCAGGTGCATTTGGCTTGTGAAGGTGCACTGGACAGTAGTCTGCGGAGGAATGGGATGAGGTCAGGGTCACTTGGAGGATATCCAAAGCAAAGGTGTGCGGAGGCCTGCATGCTTCTACCTTGCGAGCACATGCTGCTGGGGGTGGGGGTATAACTTTTTCCCCTTAACTTTTTTTTTGGTGGGGGGGGGGGGGGGGGGGGGGGGGGGTATAAGTATTGGTTGACGCGTATCATGTTTATCCGTTTAACATCATCATGGCGCGCCGAAAGAAATGGAAGCCTGCTCGTCCAATATCACCATCATATGCAGCGAAGCTGGAAAGACAGAAATTGTCCGCCACCGCGGATGCTTGGAATCGTGACTGGAACGATGACAATGGCCAAGCAGAGGGTGCAGCGGTGGGCTCAGGCGAGATTGAGGAGAAGAGGAGAGGCGTGGGATCCCAAGCCACCACATTTGTGGCAGGTGAGGATGCAGAAGACCGGACATCCAAGGCGTTGGCGAAACAGGATGTCACAAATGCCGAGGGAAAGGTAGGGGCAGGTGTCTCTGAAGAAGTATCGAGGAGCCGACGGGTCTCGAACACCAGATCGGCAAAGGAGGCGGCGGAGCAGCACTCCCACAGGGTTGCTGCTGACAATGGCTTCTCATCAGGGGGATCTGAACTGGAAGGGGCTGCAGGGGGAGGGGGGGGGAGGGGAAGTGAACGACGAGAGGACGATGCACAAGAGGAGGGGGTTAAGGGAAGGGGGGTGACAGGAGGGTGGACTCGGATCATCGGCAAAGGTAACGGTAGAGAGGGAGGGAAAGCAATGGAACCAGAGGAGGATGGGACAGGCAAAGGTCCCACAGTAGGGAAGAGGAGGAGTGGGACAAGTGTGAAATTGGGACTGCCAGAGGCGGAGGGGAGCATCGCAAGACCTGTATCCGATTCATGGGTATGGGATAAGAAGCAAGCATTTTCGGGAGAGGGGGGGTGGCCGTCAAGCCAGGATGAAGCCATATTAGTCAAGAGAGGGGCCTTCAGCACCCAACCTTCCCCTGTACTGAAACATATGGATGGGGTGCGTAGAGTGGTGGCTCCTTTCACGGGATCTGATGGTATGCAATTGGATCAGCAAGATAACGATAGAGGGGTGGGGAGAAAGGGCACAGAGGGAGGAGACGGGGGACTGAATGAGTTGGAAAGTGGGTCTACATGGGGGGGGGGGGGGGAGGGTAAATGGAGAGAGCATGGAGCGAAAGACACCGAGGCGCGAGAAGATGAGGTACCGGAGACAATGACTACCAGTAAAGGTGTCATTGTTGTAGGCCTTGGCAGTGGGCCTGGAGGAAAAAAGGGTAGGAGATCCGTTGTGCAAGCCGCATCGCTCCCTTGGACCCGGTTCTTCTTCCCTGCAGATGACGACCTCGGGAGGGCTCCCTCCCTTCGTACACAGTACTTTGATGTGTGCATTGACGATGAGAATGAAAGGTGGGGGCCAGGACCGGGAGAGGGTACTAATACGGCCGCCAAGTCACGGGATTCAATGGCTGGGTCCCGGGAGGACTGGGGCTCGATGGTCGCCCCAGAGGTTGCTGTGATGAGGGAGGTGGAGCGACTCCGGGAAGAGAACTTTAGGCTGAGCTACCTGCGGTGCCCAGGATTTCCACCCATATTGAAGTCCTCCTTGGGAGGTGCTATGGCCCAAAAAAGGGGTGTTGAGACTCACGACGACGAAGGGGGGGCATTAATTAAGGCCCTGCCTAAACAGGACATAACAACTTTTGCTCAATGGGTAAGGAGGCTGAGGCCTGCGCTAGGTGCAGGAGCCCATGTGGAGAACCTCCTGCCCCTGTTGACTCTCTCACAAGGCCTTCTAAGGGAGGTGGTGGACCAGAGAATTGACTTCTATCTGCAGCAGGTGGAAGAGGAGAGGCGGATGTACAAGGAGAGAGAGTCCGCAATCAAAATGGAGCTGGACATGACAAAGAAGAGGTAAGTTATATGCATGGTGGTCCATGTGAGAGATACAGCCCCAACTCCCCACTTCCCACGTCTGCCGTAGCACCCACCTCTCATCTCCTTGCTCCATCATGATGTGAGAGATACAAGCCCAACTCCCACTCCCCACTCCCCACTCCCCACGTCTGCCATTTTCTAGGATTCAACAACTTTTCCACTGCTCCTTCCTTTTTTCCCAATTATCCCCTCCCCTCCCTCCCTCTCCTCAAGCCCCTACCCTCCTTTCCTCCTATCTCAGACCCCCCTCTTCCCGTTCTCCTGTCCGTCCCCTTCCCAACCTTTGTCATTTTTCTCCCCCCACCTCTGCGGCGGCGTCTGCGCTGAATTCCCCCGTCTTTCCTCGTCTTCACCTTGCTCCTTGCCTCCTTTTTTTTTTTTTTTTCCCCTTTCATCCTCCTTCCCTGTCTCATTTTTCTCCCCCCTCTGCGGCGTCTGCGCTGGTCTCCTTTCTTCTTTCAACAGTCGGTCTTTGCCTTGTTTGTTGCCTCCTCGGTCCTCCTTCTGTGATGGATCTTGTGGGCGTTGGGTTCATCATATGGCCTCGCCCTCTGTGGCAGCTGGTCCCCTTCTCCTGTGGTGGATCCTGTGGGCGTTGGGTTCATCATTTTTTTTTTTTTTTTTTTTTTTAAATGAGAAGGTAACCATTGCAAGTACAGTGCTTGGGCCAAGCTAGCGTGGGTAAAATGGATATGCTTACTATGCGTGCCTGCCTGTCTGCTCTCTGTGTACTGGGTTGGGGGTGGTGTGGGGGTTGGGAGGAGGGGTGCGACATGGTCATTCTTGTCCGGTGGGGACCACCATGCATGGGTGGCTACAATGTATTTGGGGATGCAAGGTGGGACATAACCATTCTGGTGGGGACCACCATGCATGGGTGGATTGATTTTATTTGGGGATGCATGGTTGGCTTGATTTTATTTGGGGATGTGAAAAATAGGTACCGCGACGACTTCAGTGAGGAGGTGGATGAGATTCAGCGTGGGGTGGGGGGTGGAGCAGCTGGTGAAGGAGGCCAGGGACCTCAAGACAACACGTCGAGGTTACTTATTCGGTTGGAGAAGATGAAAGGGGGTGTAATGTCAATGAGAAAGCAGGAGGAGATTGAAGCGCTCGCCAAGGAGCGAGATGAAGCTCTAGAACAATTGGAACAAGTGAAGCAGGCGAGAGAAGAAAGCACCAGGCAGGGCGCTGCTGCGTTGGAGATGGAAAAGGCGGTCCGGCAACGAGAAAATGCAGCATGGCGTACACAGGTCGGGAGGATTCAGAAGAGGACAGGAGAGTACGAACGCGAGTTTGAAGAAGTGAGGAAGAAGCTGAAGGAAGCGGAAGCCGAGACAGAACGGCTGAGGAGGAGGGAGAAGCTGAGAGAGGCAACGTATAAAGAATGGGAAGCCGGGAAGTCGGTGCCGGCCATGGCTATGGTTTCTCAGGAGATCCACGAGCTTGACCCGACGGAGAAGTCGCTGTTCGAGACCGCAACGAAAACCGATATCATGGATGCATCCCAGAAGATTTGCGAAACTCTCCGCACGAAGTTGCACGTGTCGGCATACATAGCAATGCTGGTGGCTCCACCTGAAGACACCTTAGAGACCGGGACTCAAGCTGGAGATGGTGAGACTGGGACTCAGCCCGGAGATGGGACTGGGAGTGAACCTGGAGGAGGAGATGCAAGCGAGCAAGGAGAAGTGGCACGTGAGCGTGCACGTGGATTCTTAGTACGGAAGTCGATGAGTGAGGTGCAACACAGGGCGGCGCTGGAGGCTGCAGCTGCCGCTGCCGCGAATCCGGGAGCGGCAGGGAATGCTGCAGATGTGGTTGCAAAGATGGCTCAAGGGGTTCAGGCGACGGAACAAAAAGAACAGCGTGCCACATGGTTGCAGTATGTTGCGGCTGATTCGTCGAACACTTTCATCGTCGGACAATACCTCCTACCCGGAGAGGGGGTTACCTATTTCGCCTTATTGCCACGAGGGGACAATTATCCTGACAAACCCACCGTGGAAGAAAATGGGACAGTCTTGGACGACTACTCGGTCCATGTTCCGGAGTTGGTGAACGATGGGAGAGTCAAGTACTGGGCTTTGGAATTCGGCAGGCAATTGCCGGATCCCCTGGAAGGCTCCTTCTTTGGCTTGGGAATCAGTATCGACGGAGAGGCGATAGGGGTCTTGTGCATCGATACCCTTGGAAGAAAGCGGGGGGATCTCATCCTGTCCCAGGTGAGTCAGATGATGGGTGAAAAAAAAAAAAAAGAAGCACCCTCTCTTTATCTAGGCTACCAGACGGGCCGCCCGGGTCACCTTGTTTGCCAGGGCGGCCTGGCTGTGCAAGGACCAAGGCACGTCAGAGCCAAAAAGAACCCAAAAATACGAAAAAAAAAACTATGTTGTGCAGGAAAATAAACTGAACCAGGGTTACCTGACCGAACGTTCGGGGGCCCCGGGGCTGGCCCCCGAACGTTCGGGCGTTCAGGGCCCTGTTCGGAGGCCGAACACCTCCAGGTTCGGCCCCCACCAAAAAATATTTCGGAGCCTAAAAATAAGTTTTTTTTTTTGAATTTTTTTTTGTGAGTTCTCTATGATGTAACCTACACGCCAATACATTTTGAAGCCATTCTGCTAATCCAAAAAAACATTAAAAATAGTCAAAGATGGGGGTGTCAAAACGTGCTCGCCCACTCACTATTTTGTTTTTTTTTTCACTTTTAACTTTTGTTTTCACTTTATTTCGGGGCCTAAAAAACATTATTATTTTTTGAAAACTTTTTAATGAGTTATTGATTATGTAAACTACATATCTGTAAATTTTCAGGGCATTTGTCAATGCCAAAAAATAATTAAAAATCGGCAAAGATGGCGGTGTCGAAAAGGTGCTGGCACACTCACTCATTTTAATTCTCTTTTTATTTTTTCTTATTTTTATCATAGTGTTTATTTTCTGTATTGGATTTGTAATTCAAATTTGGTAAAGAATTTGGATGT